CTCCAAAAAGACATTTCTACAAACAGAGAATCTGATGCATTTTTCAAGTCACACCCTCTTCTGACAATCTCACAATACACAATATTATTTTATTTTCATAACTAAGTTTAGTCAGAAGCATTCTTGTTATAGTTTACTATTTCAGTTAAATTCAATCACCCTTGAAATAATGACTCAATTTAAAGCAGCTGTCCTGCCCAACCAGAAAGAGGTATACATGGCAAAAGCAAAACCCCTAGCATCAATACAGGAATTTAGTGGAATCAACTAAAGTTTTCTCAACTTAACATAAACAATAAGTTTTATTAATCTTCTAAAGAAACATTATCAGCATTACCAGACTTCCATGCATGTATTTGTTGTTAACTTCTGTTTCTGACCCCTGTATTCTTTTGTCTGAAGAATACATACTGTACAAACATACATTCAGTATGAGAACAGAACTTGTGGATCATGGAAATAGTGATAACTGTTGGTCAATTCATACTTAATATTGTATTTAAATTAACATCCCTGTTGCCCTGACACCCACAATACCTTTGATCTCCTCTTCAAGGATAAGGAGGACAAGGACAACATGTGTGGATGCATTAAGAGTGTAGAGCTCAGTTGGTAGAGCTGGCGACCCATATACGGAGTTGCTGCAGCGGCCTGGGTTCGAATCCGACCTGCGGCCCTTTGCTGCGTGTCATCCCCTCTCTCTCTACCCACCTTTCCTGTCTATCTTCGGCTGTCCCTATCTAATAAAAGCATGAAAAGGCCAAAAAAATAACTTAGAAAAAAAAGTGTAATTGCCGTAAGGTCACTGTCAAGCAGCACTAGGAGGTTTTTGGTATTCCTGAATAGTTAAGTTGCAGAAAAATATTGTCTACTACCCTTTATTAAGTTGTAACAACAACTCTAGGGGTGCTTACGTGATCCTAATTGGGTCACAATTTTTGTGAGATGTATTTCTAAATACTATACAAACATAAAGTTGAGAAACCAATAGTATTTGTAAAGTAGTGGGCTGGCTAGCTCATTGTCCATGAGTCAGTTTTCCTAGTCACGAAAGACTTGGTGGATGAGGAATCTGGAGAGCATGGCCTTTCGGGACATGAAGACACTGACATTAAGATGAGTGGCCAAGTTCCACTGCAGAGTTCAGATCGTGTTCACAGAACTAAGGTTTCAGTGAATAACCATCAGTTCCTTAGTCTCTAGCTAGCAAAGATGGGCCTCAAGCCTTGTTCATTGCTGAAGTCTGGAGAAAAACAGCAAGATGAGGGCAAAAGATGGGGAAAGGGATGGACATAAAATGGGAGGGGAGCAGGATAATAAGGCACGGAAAAAAGAATTATATGAAAAGCCAGAGGGAAGGAGGGGACAGATAGTAGGACAGAAAGCATGAGATGCTGAGGAAAAGAAGGGGGATAGAAATAATGAGGGATGGAAGGAAAGTGGGGATAAGCGAGGAATGGGGGAGAAGGAGGGGGCAGCAAAGAGAGAGCTGAGTGGAGCTGAGGAGGCGCTGGGCCTGGGGGATTGCTGTGCGTTTATCCTCCTCTGCAGCAGGCTTCTGAAGCACTACCTCAGGAAAAGACTTTAAAGCAGGGTGGCTGCTGCTCTGCGCTGATCTGTTAATACCCACAGATACATGAGGCTTCACCATAGTACTCTGGGGGTGGGGTGGAACAGGACAGTGTGTATAAGTCTGCATGTGAGTTTGTGTGTGTTTTTTGTTATGTGTTCAAGGATCATATCATATCTCTGCAGACGATATATCCCATCCCCACCGCTAGCTTGCCCCAACTCACCCGGAGACATGACGTTACCGGAGCGATTAAAAGATTAGATTGGACTATCATGTGGCTGTGTGTCAGCATTGTCACCTAAAGCTGATGCTGTAAGGGGGGGGGGGGTATGACTACCCTGTTTTAGGATCCTGTATAAATAGACTTCTGCCTCTTGGGAATTGGTGTAAAACTGCCTCAGAGCCACAGTATGTAGCAAAAATATACACACTGGGAGGTGGAGAAGCTACATGGGATTTGTGCAGGCTGCTTCACAGAGGAAAGTGTCCCATGCTCTCAGGGGGCTACATGATTAATTCAACGAAAGTAAAAGACCTAGGAGGGGGTGAGAGGGTGTAAGAGGAGAAATATAATGTTCTGTTTATAAGTGGGATTTTACTGGTGAAATCACAATATGTCCATGTAAAGTCAAGTCAAAATACCATTTATAAACTAAATAACATAAGTACAAATGCTGGAGAACTATAGGATAGAATCTTTTATAAGGCTCTGTCAAACTACATTCGAGACCATTTCTTAAAAATAATTTGTGCTATCCAACATGTTTTCCTCTACTGTGCTGCCCCATCTATGTTTTAAATACACAATCCCCTCAGAACATAGAGCAATTTCTTGTTTTCCAAATCTATTTGAGGAAAGCCTGCATCAAAACACTTTCTAAGACTAGACAGAACATTTTTTTTTTCAAACTTAGCACATTAGTCTCAGTGCCTCTTAATTCCTCTGTAAATGTTATTTTTGGCAAAGCAGCTATTATTTATTGGAACTTGGAGTTTACTATGATGATGATTTAAGTTTTAGGGTAAGGGTTAGGGTTTGGCATACAGTGGTATGGTTTAAGGTAAGTATAAACATTCATGAAATAAGTGCAAGTCAATAATTCCAATGTCTTCACAAGCGACAAACAATTGTCTATGTGTATGTACGTATAATTTCCTGAACTCTCCTAAAAATGAGCGGTGCATAAAAATTACAGGACAACAATGATTACTAAGACAAATATCGCCACCAGTATGAAAGACTATTGAAGATATCACATTGACTGACTGACTGCTTTGTTATTTGTTTGATGTCAGAGACAAAACTATAGGAAATTTGTTTTTGTGGGAACAGGTAAATGATACCTTAAAATGCTCTGAAATGATGAAAGACCGTTCAGCATCATAACAACAAGCAGCGACAATGAGAGAAAAAAAGATTGAGAGGAAGGACAAAAATATAAAAAAAAACAATAAAACCATTGCTGGCCCAGTGAGGAATCCGCACCATGTTAGTGTTTGATCAAGAAAAGCTCAGAGCCTCAGCACCTCCTCAAGGCCCTGTGCAACTGTTCAACAATAATCTCCAGAAGTTTCCTTTTGTTTTCCACTACAAACTGACTTTTCATCATGCATTAAATGTTAAAACTCCACATCCTAGGCAAGCCCAGCTTACAAGTTTAAACATTTGGTATATCAAATGTTTTTGTGTTTGTGTCACACAAGTGTTTTTATCCTGACTGTTAGCCCAGAAGAGCATATACTAGAGCAGATACTCTTGGCAGATCCAAGTAACTGAGGTCTATCTAATTGATTTTTCACATGTTGTCTTAATTTGTATATTGACTTTCCAACGGATGTCAGCAGTGCCAGGAACCTATAGAACACAACCGAGTTCTGTAGCCTTTAATGGACAACAGTTCACATTAGGAACAGCAGTCATTTACATGTATTTTTATGATTGTTTCCACTCACACTCACTCGATTAGATTAAATGTGGTCTCTTGGTGACTCTTAAACTGTTAGTTGTTTGTTATCGACCAGAGCCACTTATCCACTTGATAGAAATCACCTGTGTCCTCAGATAACATGACAGGCTATTAGGAAGACGTGGTTAACCAGGCGTATGATATCGCCTACAGTAGTCGTTAATGATGGTGTAAACAGCAGTGATACTAGGTCACAGCTCTGTGGTACATGCAGTCTCTGCAGTTTGTGTGTGAGTGTATTTTGTTAATGTGTAAAGTGCTCCCTACAATAGAATATAATCTTATTAAACAATCACACTACAGGTTTAAAAATCTAAGACCAGTACTGTATAATCAGATACAGCCTCAACAGACATTGAACATTATCCACCAAGTAAGCAATTGTTGACAAGCTGTGTTAGACTGCAACATATTCTACTGGCATGCATTATTTATGCCAAACCCCTGTGATTGCATAATAATTTAAAGTGATTTAAAGAGATTTTGGTTCTGAAACCTTAAAGGTCTCTTAAACTTTAATGAATAATTTTAATTAATGTATTTGTAATATCTGAATATATCAGTTTACCAACCTACTCCGCACAATTTGTTGAAGTCTCCTCATTGGAATATATCCCTGAAAGTACATCTGCAACATAGACTGCATGGACCAAAGAACTGGCATCCGTGCCTTAAAATTATGTTTGTGCTCGCATTTCAGTCAGCCAACATCTACCGAGTTCAAATGACCTCCATTCCAACCAGTTGAGAGAGATTGTAAATAATGTTCCACTGAATTAAGAAGCCTAAATCTTGGAGCCTCATCGTGCTGACAGAGTATGTGGCTTGTAATCTGGACGCACAGTTACAGAGCAACTGAGTTTCAGGAGATAGCTTTTTTGTAAGGCCATCATCAGGACAAAGTTTGTGTGATCATGCTCAAGTTAGACTGTAATTAACATAGTTAAATAGCTGCACAGCAATCTCCAGGGACCCCTGAATGTTCACTCAAGGTAAGGGTGGAGGAGGTGGTTTGGAGATGTAAAGCAGGTAATTAAATGAAGATTCTAGGCTATTGAATTATCTTCCGGGCAAATGCAGTACCCCCTCTTCTTTCTCCCTCCTCTCCTTCCCTCTTCCAACCCTCGCTCTCTAAGCCTTGCACCTGAGATGAAGATGACAGTTAATGATGGTGTTTTTTAAAACCACTTTAGCTCCTGCCCTATAGCTCACTCTCGCTCTCTCCAGACAGACCAGGGTTTTTTTTTTTTTCGCCTCTTCTTTCATCCTTTACTGAGATGAGTCCACGCCATTTTTTCTTCATGTTCCATTAGCAAATTGCCTCCGTCTCTATCTCTCCTCCTTGTTTCCACCTCCCCACCTGCCCCCTAACCCTTCCATTAGAAATCTAACTGGGGAATTTATTCATTTAAACTGGGAAAAACAATGAGGTTCACTCCAGGGTCTGTTTTATTTTTCAGAAGTTGGAGGGGAGCGACAGAGCACGAAAGAGACTAATGTTGGATGGCATAGTAAAGACAACCTGAAGGACCTGAGAGCCATCATTCGCACAGAGTGGCAGCAAGGTCATGAGGCTAAGGGATGGTGAGTCTGTTATTTGCATATGCCGTGGGCTATGAGGTAATAAGGTCTGCTTAGTTTCTCCATTTTAATCATTTAATCATCACAACCATTAGTAAACTGACCGTTTGGTATGCCCAGCCATTATCTACTTTCATGCATGTGTTGCCCTAGATAAGATAATTCTACACTTTTGGAGAATAAAAACAGAAGAATATTAGATATTTAATTTGTTGGTCAAACTAGTCTCTTAATGGTGGTAACAGCCATGAAACTTTAATTCTAGTATTAATAGGTTGACAGGCCATACAATTGCAGGCCTTGTTAGAGAATTTCTGGCCTAATAATGAAAATAATTCCTCTGTAAAGCACAGAAGAGGTAGTATTAACACCACAAGGCAAGTCTGCGTAGCATATAATCACAGAAAAATCTTTTGCTGAATAAATACATTAATGTGATCCATTATTACTAATCAATCTATTACATTCACAACATATTTGTATGCACAATACAACAGCTGCATTACATTTGGGGTAATCAACACTTGATTACCATAATAAAATAAGTCAGTTAGTTAAAGCCGAGTCGATTAAATAGAGAGAGAGAGATAGGGAGAGAGACGGTGCTTCCAATTCATGTGTGATTCACTCAATATTCTGTCCTCATTTGTGTTTCACTACAGTATGTGTATTCCCAAAGCTCTGGCTAAACCCACATCCAAAAAACTGCTGAGTCAGTCAGCTTAGAGCCCTTGCAGGCCGCTCCTTGTTTTAATATGTCTAGTCCTGTGTCAGGTCTTTGGATATCAGGGTTAATATCTAATTGAAGGATCCAATCTCCGAGATTATGTGCTGTGATTTTGTTTACAGCATCTGCCATCAGATGTAATTGAATGTACTGCATGGTATAATCTGATACATCCGGGGGTGATGTTTTGCTACTTCTATCATTTTGTGTGTGTGTGTGTGTGTGTGTGTGTGTGTGTGTGTGTGTCTGTCTGTGTACGGTTCCACTGCCCATAGATGCCCTGTAGGAATCCAAAATAGCTTGTAGATGTTGAATTAGTCCCTGACTTATGGTGAAATATGCTTTCTGTGCTACTGTCTTAACTCATAAAGGTAATATCATCTGCATTTGATGAAGGTGTTGAAGGATGCTATACATCATAATGCAAGGACTTTCTGTTTGTATCCATCAGTGTACCCAAAACAGGTGACTGCATTGACAAAATTGTTGTTGTACCAGGGACCTGATTTTCAAACAGAGCTCATTGTACGCCTTGGTGACAATGTTTTTTTAGAAGTTTTTACTTAACTTTAATCCATGTATGTTAATGTGATGTATGTCTTAGGTCGATTCAGGCCTTTTAATGTAGCAATAGGTTATCGCTGTGAACATTTAACACAGCTGTCTTCATTTACCAAAAACTGAAGCATTTGATACTTAGGCTTGACATACACATTAACATTTTAGTCTGATGCTGCCATGTAGAGTGATGAGAGAGCAGGTACAGTAGGGGTTCAGTGTCAGGCTCAAGGACACTTCGACAGGGCACAAGGCTACTGCTGGGACACATCAGAACTTGAGGTGATTAAATCGTCCCTATTACAACCAGGTATCTGTAACTGGCTGATATACAATGAGACTATTCATACCTCCTTTTAGCAACTGCATCTGAATTGCAAATACAGTTGCTACAATAAAAAAGTAAGGAATTTTATACCCTCATCACATCTGTTAAATTAATAGTTCTAAATTGGGGAAATAAATGTATTCTCTTTCTTGTCCAGAGATAGTGAGAGAAGATCGATAGCACTCATAACTGTCTGTTAAATATGAAGCTCAGTCAATAGTTTGCCTAGCATAAAGACTGGAAGCAAAGTGAACCAGCTATGCTGGCTCCGTCCAAATGTAAAAAAATAAAATAATAAATACCAGCAACTGTAAAGGTTTCCATAGAAAAAACAGAAGTGTAAAAATGTCAAATGGTAGATTTATAGGGAGTTACATGCTGGAGTATGTAGAATCTTTCTTGTGTCTAAGTAGTATTAGAGTGCTATCATGACAGTGAGGTTGCCAGGCAACAACATGCTGGTTCTACGCTACATTATTGTACGGATAAAACAAATGAGATATATTGTGATAACTAGTGAGTGTTATACCTTTAGGCAGATCCAGGCTGGCTAACTGTTGTTTGTGCTTCCAGTCTTTATTCTAAGCTAAGCTAACATGTCCTCCCTGTAGGTTCAATAAGCCCATTTCCCAAAATGTTGAACTAATGTTAATTAAATGTTATTTAAAATGTACTGTTTTATCTATTACCCCGCTATTATGCATGCACATCCTCCCAAAATCCTCTAAACTAATGTTACCTACCAGTGATGTGAAACGTCACAGGAGGAAAATACATTTCATGTGTTTATACAAGGTTCACAGCATTTGTCATCATAAAAACAACAGCTACAGTAGACTTCAAAGCTTTATCCAGATAAATACAAAATGAGGATGTTACATGTGATTTTTTTTTTTTTTTTTCACCCCACAGAGGATCTGTAGTTCAAAGAGGTAGATGAGAGAAAAGTATGTCACTGGTACCAAGCCAGGATAAGGTATTACTATCTTTAAATCCTTCAGCACTGATCAAAACCAGACTTACTGCAGAGACAGCGAAACTGGCACATTCAACAACACACAGCCCTCCACACACACAAACTCATGCTTTGATGACAATAACTTGAACAATAACACCAACAACAGTGACCTTTGTGGTGCGGTTCACAGGCCAGATGACAGTCAGCAGTAGATCATACATTGTGGCCAGAAATGCTGTTTTACTGTAGACCCTCTCTTTTTATCACACTGTCTTACTATATATTTATCTTTTTTATTTTTTTAACTTTCTAACTGCAGTATTATCAATAATTCACCAACAAACAAGGCCAGAACATTGCCATGTTGTTCCAACTCTTTGAGATGTGGTTGTTATGCTCTACTGGTATTGTTCTTGATTTAGCCCTTGACTGCCATAAAATATGTGTTGTTTTACATTTCTAATTGTACTGTTACCACTGAACAATAAGTTCTTATTCAAATTTTGTCCTCAGGAACAGTTTTGCTTCGGAGCACTGAAATGATGGTAGATGGGAAATGCTCTTTAGAGTATGTTGCTCCAGCCCCAGAGGTTTAACAACTAAAGATTTGGATTAACCTCTTCAAATGAAAATATGACTGTTAAGTCTGCAAGTCTGAGTCGGAGGGTTTTAGTGGCTTTTCCAAATCTAAAATTCTCACAGTTTAGTGAAAGCTGTAATGTGCAAGCTTTAGAAACATATGTGAATATTTACACTATGTCTGCATGTGAGTGTGTCCATCTATATTGGTTTCTCCCATCAGTATGTTTGTAGTATGCACACGGTATCTGTAACAGTGTGTGTATGAGAGTGTGTTAGACTTTCTGAGTTCATTTGCTCATGCTTGTGTACTCACATGCCTCCATATGTCTCATAATCCAGGAGACTGGCACACATCATAGCGTTGGGAGTTGGGGAATTCAGAGCTGTTCTGCCACATTCGTCAGTCTAAAGAAACAGACAGAGAGAACTTATGTGGTTGTGTTTAGCATATTACACAAAATAAAGAAAGATTTTGACTGTGCGCAGGGAACGGCTGCCTCACCGAATGAGGAATCCGCTGTGGAGAAGATTCAAAGGGGCAATTTTACACCAGCTTATGAGCAAGGGAGTGAATAGAGGGATGCACGCTGCCTAGAGACCGCCAGATGTTACACAAGGGAATCCATCTACAGCAAGACTGACCAAGGGTGGAATGATTCTAAATTGGCTCTGAAAAATTGGGTCCTCACATACAAACAGATGAAGGAAATATTTAGGGAACAGAGTGTTTTATCAAAAATGTTTTGCCAGTTTAATTCAGCGTCTTTTTCATTATCTCTGCCAAGGAGGTTATGTTATCAGCTCTGCTTGTCTGCCTGTCGTTAGTTTTTGAGATATCTTGAAAACTGTACAACAGATTTCAATCACATTTGGTGGGAAGTCCAGCCATGGGCGAAGGGACAATTTGTTTTTGGTGTGGATCCAATTTCAGATTTTTAAAGCATTTCTTAACATTTCTGAACAATTTAGCTCCTTTTCCATCAACTACTGCACTTAGATAAAAAGTGGTGCAAGTATCCTATTCACATCACTATTTAAATGCATGTTCAAATGTAATGCATTTATTAAACATTCTTAATATATACCTATTATTAAAATACACAGATTTGGGGAGACTTGGCAGATGTATACAGTATAGGCTCTCTGTGTGCTTCTACTCTTCGAGTACTGTTGAATCAGCAGACATGTTACTGTGTTTTATACAATGTAATGTTCAATTCAACAGTTCACATACAGTATACATTACTATTAATACACTAGAGAATCTTTACTTATGAAACACAAGTGACTCATTACACTGCACATTCAGGAACATATCTTTATCATCAGGTGCAGCCTTTAAACTGTTTAAAATCTAATTAAAATAATAGTATTATACTCTTTTAAGATTTGAAAATAGTTATAGTCAACAGTTACACATAGCACAACCTTTTATCTGGGCAGGACTGTTCCTTTGACATCGCATACAATATTACAAAGTATTTATTTATTCAAGTCTTTTGAAGTCAAGTATTTCTGTCCAACATAGATATGACAGGGTCAGCAGTATAGAGTAATTAAAGATGGATAAACATTTGTAAGTGCCACAGCACAAGAAAATGTATATAAAGGTCACATAGGGAAACAGCAGGCTGGCCTAAGCAGCCTAAAAGCATGTACTGGTACCTTGCGTCAAATATCCTTCATAAAGACTACCTCGTCATTTGCTGCTAGTACCTAGCAAGTCCCTTGAGAACAAAGGCATAGTAAGGTTGAAATTAAAGCAATACCTACAAAGCAGAAGTGTAGAAATAACATGGTTACAAGCCAATATATTAATGGTCAAACTTATTTTCTAGCTAGAATGGTGC